GGGGTCTAATAGGTGGAAAAATACAATAAGCGTCAACTCAACTAAAGTTATAAATAATAAAATGTCTAAAAAGTTGGTCAAGCCCCTATAGTAAACAGTAATCATAAATTGTTGCTTACCTACTCTGATTAATGGACAATCTTATACCCAAAGAAAAAAGCTAGTATGCATTTGTTGGCGAAGTATAACTACGAAGAGATTCTGATAAAAAGTAGCTATTTAGAAACAAATTGTGCAAATTAACAGAAATATACAATGGAAAATGAAGGTGAATAGAAACACAAGATTAAGGATTAAAGAAGTGAGGGTTAATTCATAAATAAGTAATAGAACGAGTCTCAGTGACCTGAAGCCCCTCTTCAATACATAAAAGAATGAAATCTGATGAAAAGAAAGATTTTTTCAAATCTAAATAAACTGTAGCTGAGAAATGGGAAAGGAAAATTACCTAATGGACGAAGCATAATAGAAGAGCATATAGAAAAAATGAAAACCCAGTCACTCACCGTCGGTTTTGATTTACTCCGTTGCCTGGACCTCCGCCACCGGACCGTCGCTTTCCACGCCCACCGTTTTCAACTGAGAGCATAGTGGAACGTGAATTAAGCCAATCTGGTACAGGCTGCTTCGATTCACGAAGTAATTCGATCAAATCACGGACAACATTTTGATTTTTGTCAGTGAAAAATGAAGTGGCCAAACCCACTTGTCCCATTCGACCAGTGCGACCAATCCGATGAACATACTCTTCGATGTCAGATGGTAGATCGAAATTTATCACATGCTATTTAAAAAAATAAAGCTGATTTGAAATCGAAATCATCACATTAAAAGACGTAGTTAAATCTTTCAGTGGTTAAACGTTAATATTAGCAGCAAGATCTATGAGATTTGCATCAGTATTAAATAGTTATAAGGATAGAGCTAAATTAAGCTGGCACTATAATTTGAAAATAATATATAGTATTAAGCGGACCTAAGAGTAGTGCTTCAGAGTACAAATTAAAAAAAACCTAATTAACTCAACAAATCTACTGACAATCCACAGATAAATAAGAGCGCAGGCCTATACTTGCAGGAAAACTGAAAAAGATGTATAAATCGAACGAAATTAAATGAAGTCAAGAACATATTTATAACAGACAGCCTGGCATGATGGAGTTCGGATACCTCTAAGCTTTAGACATTGTAGCTTGGGTTATTTTATCCTA